TTTGCATCAAAGACAAACCTCATGATGCCCCCTGGTGATGATCATTAAGACTTTTTCTCACTTTTGTCAACTCAATTTTTTCTTCAAATGATTGCACTTTAAAAATAACTGGACTCCTGAGGAAAAGAGGTACCAGAGAAAGAAGGCTTTTGTTTAAAAGATAAAAAACAATGATTTTTTTCAAGGGAACTAAAAAATTCATAACTTAGTTCTCCCCCTGTTAAAAGCATTGAATCATAACTGCTTCAGAGACTGAGTTTTCTACCATTTCTTTCAGAATCTACAGAAAGAAGTTGGTAACGTTTTCTTACCCAAAATCCCACTGTGGTATCTTATCCAAAACCCTTCTGCAGCAAATAACACCAGTATGTTGTTTTCTCATCATCAAAATTATGAAGGCAACTGGTCACTTTCCCCTTTTGTATTTAAAATGCAACAATAAAATTATCACCTACCAGACCCCTCCCTTCTCTTTCCAAGCCAATTAATGCCAGTTTCTTTAAATTTTTCAAACTTAAATATCTTTATTTATTTTTATTATGATCTCTCCGGGGTCCATTTCAATTTCTACAGCTCTCTTCAAACACCAACTCCAAAGTTTCTACAGGGCAACATCCATATTTGTTTTCCTGCCTCCCCAGTATTTCCTGAGGGTAGGAATTCCTCGAATCTTCATGCCCAGCACTTAGAAGAGAGCTTGGCACAGAGAAGGTACTCAGTAAATGTTTGTTGAATTGGATTGTCCTATACACATCACAAAGAAGAGTTATTATAGAGAGGTACTAAAGCTCATCGTTCTACTGGAGTCTAACAATTTTCTGCATTATCTGAACAGCTAACGGGCAGCGTTTCCATACATTGTCCACTGTCCACCACAGATGATATTTCAGAAATGTTAACTCTCCCAAAGAGAGATTCAAATAAAAGTCATTTCATTTCAGATCATCCTTTTCCTCAGAGGCTTGTTTGTTCCAAAATCGAAGTCCAATTGCAGCAATAAACAAAAATGTAAGAAAAGGTAAATAGATGATGAAGAAAAGGTAGAAGATCCAGCCATTATAAATCACATATTTAAAGAATATTTGTTTAATGAATAACGTTCAAAATATAATGTTAAGAGAAAAACAAGAGGCATACTCCTATATACAGTACACTTTCAATTTTATGATTTTTAAAGTGCGCATATAAATATGAGATGTTTGAAGGAAAAAAAAAGACAGTGTTTATCTCTGGGTGGTAAACTTAAAGGCACCTTACATTTTGCTCTGTTTATATTGGCTTATTTTTCAAATTCTCTGCAATGAATGAATGACTTCTATAATCAGAAAAATGGCATTTACAAAAGGATATCTGAAGACAAGAGAATTAAATGAATGGAAAGTCCAAAGTTATCTTAAAATAAATCTTAACTACTTAATTATTCACCCAAGAAGCAAGGACACTTTGCAAGCTCTTAAAATGAAAAAAAAAAAAGGCATGTCTTAGAAATTGGATACCAAATAATTTTATCTGCGGCACTGAGAATGTACTAGAATTGTGCAAACATAGATCAAGAAAGTCAGCCCCAGGGTTTTGTTTCGTCTCTACTAATCTTTCTCCTACTGATGACATCTCTTGAATACTTGCATAATAATTCCTTAAAAAGAAACTCTTACTGGGAAATTAAACATAATGAAGGAAACCAATCCAGATGTAAAGTGAAAAAATATTTTAACAGACATTTTTAAAAGACACAGATGGAGGAGCTTTTGAATGGAGACTTTACTTTTATTCTGTATTTCTGTATTGCTTGAAATTTCAAGCAGAATGCATAATTTGTATAATTTTTATAAATAAAAGTTTAAGTCAAGGAAAGACAAAATACAAGTAAAGGAAGTAAAATCTCAATTTACAAGATCTGACTACATGATAATAAAAGAATCAATGTATTTCTAAAACAACTAATTCACTTTGTAATCATCATGACATTTTTCTTACTAGTTAAATAATTCAAAAACTCTTCGGATTCAACACATATTTACAATATTTACAATAATCCCATTGTCTTACTGCACATATCCATTTTAACGTATACTGTTGTATGAAAATCCTGGCAAAAATTACAGTTATGAATATTCAAAAGCTATGTGAATAATAAAAAATATACTGCCGTGAAATAATGGCATTTTCCAAATAGCACACCAAATTGCAGGCCAGAAAATGACAACACACTCTTCAATAAAGACCTATTAAACAAAAAAAAAAAAAAGAGTACCCATGAGGCAATAAAATAAACCAATTCAAAGCACTTCACAGAATACAATTTAAAATATTTGAATGAAGAGTACAATTCTGGATAATAGGTACATAGAGTTGCATTTTACTCTTTCCTTTGTTTTTGTGTATGATTAAAATTTTTCATAATAAAGGAAGTTTTTAAAACTTGTGCTATACAAGACTAATGCTTCCTATTAACACCAGTAGACAGTGGATGATCACTATAATTATGTATTACTATTAGTATATCGGAGCCCTAGTGGCACAGTGGTTAACTGCTAACTGCTAACCAAGAGGTCGGCAGTTTGGATCCACCAGCCGCTCCTTGGAAACCCTATGGGGCAGTTCTACTCTGTCCTATAGGGTCACTATGAGTTAGAATCAACAACAGCAATGGATTTGGGTTTTTGTCTTTGTTTTTGTTTTACTAGTGTATCACTATGGATATATGGAGCCCTGGGGATGCAGCAGTTGAGAGCTTGACTGTTAACCAAAAGGTCGGCAGTTTGGATCCACCAACCACTCCCTGGAAACCCTATAAGGCAGTTCTACTCTGTCCTATAGGGTCCCTGTGAGTCAGAATTGACTCAACAGCAACAGGTTTGGTTTTTATTGATATATGCTATATATAAATATATAATAGTTTCCATTCACTGAACATTGACTATACAAAATCCTTTGTAATCATCATCTGATTTAACAAACTTGTGAGGTTAATGGTATTAATATTCCCACTTTATAGATGAAGAAATAGACTGAAAAGTTAAGAAACTTACTTGAGATTACAAAGTTAGTAAATGAGAAAACTAGGATTTTAAATTTGAATATATAACTTCAAAGTCCATGCTTTTCATTTCTGTGCTGTTCTTCTTCCTAGAAACTATAGCCTGGTTGGTTGTGTTTAAAGTTCACTGCCATTACTTTGAAACCTACTCTCTATCACTGATAATCAGAGCATGATCTAGAGTCAGACTTTTATTCTCTGTGTTCATCACTTGCCCCCATCGGTTGTCCCAACTATCAAATATGCAAAACAAATGAATTTGAACCAGTTGGACCAAAGCTAGGATGAGTTCACAGAATATGCTATTTCAGAGTGTTTACTAGAGGCTTTTGAAATAAGTACTATAAAGACAAACTACTTCGGATCCTCTCAAAGTTAATCTAGAGTCACGGGACCTGAACTAATGGTATTTCATAAAAATTGTAAGTAAAGAATCACTTTGTAGAAGACGTAGTCAATTAATGATGCTACTAAGGTGGATACTAAACATAATTGCAGAGCTTTATTTAGATTTACTCATTTAACAAGTGTTTATTGAGTTGAAATTCAAGACACATTGGCTATAGGGATAAAAAAGAATATTCCTTCTCTTTGAAAGCTTGCAGTCTAGCGGCAAGACAAATGTGGAAAGAATTACTCCAGTGGTTGGTACAACGGTACCATGGAAGAGGTGGGACCTGAAGGCCACTTTGAAGGTCAGGGAAGGAATCACAGGGCAAAAAGAACTGCACTAAGATTTACAGGATGAATACAATCTTGTAGAGTTTACCAGGCCAATATTAACAACACCCAATTGTTACTAAACCTTCAAAATGATATACTTTTTCTAAAACACAGACATGACACTCATTTTTCATATTTGAGCCGTCATCAATGTAAAATCTTGCTCTAGTAGGTCAAAAGGTCCGAAATCTTAAATCAGAAAAAATAATTAATGTATCAGCAACTATTTATCGACTATCTTCTGGATTGATGGGCTTTTAAATACTACCTCGCATGTACAAACCAGGCTTCAAACTGGTTCATTCGGGTTCGAACCCCTGAGAATTTTCATTTCCACCCCATATATACTGAATCAGAATCTACATTTTAACATGGTCCCCAGGTGATTCCTATGTATAATAAATTTTGAGAACCACTGCTCTACTAGTGGAGACTTGGTGGCGCAGTGGCTAACTGCTAACCAAAAGGTCAGCAGCTAACCAAAAAGTTGGCAGTTCAAATCCACCAGCCACTCTTTGGAAACCCTATGGGGCAGTACTACTCTGTCGTATAGGGTTGCTATGAGTCAGAATCAACTCAAAGGCAACCGACAGATTTGGGTTTTTTTGGTTAGGCTCTACTAGTAGTTCTCAGAATTGGTCCCTAACCGGCAGCATTAGCATCACCTGGGAACTTGATAGAAATGCAAACGAACCAGTTTGAAGCCCTGGTACAAACAGATTTTAAGATGCAACATGAAAAACTGTCATGTCTTTCACAAAAGTTAGATGTTGCCAAGACCAAGTGCTTTTCAGATACTTGAAATAAAGTCAAATTTATTTCCAAATGGAAAAAAACGTACATTTTTCATTGTTTATGGCTTAAAAACAACTAACAGAAGTGTTGTCTTTCGATTAATTACAAGGGGCAAAAATTTATGCTGTGGAATGTAATATTTTCATAAAGTCTGAGGCGACCAAAAGTAGTGTGTAACAAAAAAACATTTAATTATATCGGCTATATTATTTTTGCTAGCAATCCGAGTTCGCTTAGTTCAAACAAGTTCAGCAGCACAGAACACAATGGAAGAAATGAGGAAAAGCGGGTTTTGAAATTCCAGAACAAACCAAATCTTTGAGTCATTTGTATAAGTCAAGATTTCAATTACCACAGGTTTTACTGGTTGCCTGTATTTTCTATTCCCAATAGCATAAACAAAACTATTTTTCAAGTATAATAGAAAATTGACTCTACTTACTTGGGGTGGAAAAACCTGAACAATATTTCCAGCTATGTCTAGGATTCTTAAGTTTGTAAGATCACAAATGCCCTATGTCAGGAAACAAAAGAAACAGATATTTTTCAAAACGTAATACTTAGAATCATAAATATTTCTTTTAAGTTCAGACTTGATGGAGGTGACCATCTTTTTTAATTACCTGATCATCCTCGGTACTTATTTCCCAAGGAGATTGCTATGTCCAGGATTGTCAGATTCTTTGAGCTCTACATTTCCTCTGACATTCCGACATTATATGATGGCTAAGAGTTAGACTGCTTCTGGGTTCAAATCTCACCTCTGACATGAGCTATGTAACTATGGGAAAACTTTTTTATCTCGTTTTGCTTCAGTTTATCCATTTGTAAAATGGAACTACCTCATAGGGTTGTTCAATAGATTAAACTAGTACTAATTGGAAAGTGCTTACTAGGAGCTATTACTTAGAGAGCATTCAATAGACATTAAAAACTCATTGCTGTTGAGTCGATTCTTACTCATAGCAACCCTATAGGACAGAGTAGAACTGCCCCATGGGGTTTCCAAGGCTGTAATCTTTACGGAAGCAGACTGCCACATCTTTCTCCCGTGGAGCGGCTGGTGGGTTTGAACTGCTGACCTTTTGGTTAGCAGCTGAGCACTTAACCACTGGGCTATCTAAAATAGAAAGAACTTTTGAGAAACAGAAAACAGATATAACCCTGAAAAGTTGTCTGTATTGACAATTTCACCAGCATATATTATTCATCTATCTCATACTTAGCACTGAGCTAACAAAATCTTTTCCTCGTAATGGAAATAAAACCTATGAAGGCTGTCTCTATGTACATGCCCAATGTGACTGTGAATTACCATAGTAACCACATGGTTGTTACAATGCATCTGAGTGCTGGTATTTCTACTACCAAGCAAAGACTAAATACATGTAAAAAACCTGTTGCTGTCTAGTCAATTCCTACTCATAGTGACCCTATAGGACAGAACAGAACTGCCCCAGAGGGTTTCCAAGGAGCAGCTGGTAGATTCAAACTGCTGACCTTTTGGTTAGCAGCCAAGCTCTTTTAACTACTACGCCACCAGGGCTCCAAAGACTAAATACGATTGTTTTTATTTAATTAGAAACATCAAAAACTTTTTTTTAAAAAATTGAAAACTAAAGATAAGATTTACTAAGTGGTTCCAATCACTTATAGAGACATTTCTGAAATGTTACTCTTGTTTTGATAGCCCAGTCTCTCCCTGGGGAGATGATATGTCTTTTTATTCATGCCAGTAATGTTTTCCTACTCAGCCTTATCACATTCTATCACAGATTGGGTCTCTGGAAGCAGATGCTGAGATGGAAATTGGGGTACTGGATGTTAATAACAGACCCAATCTTGTGAAAGGGAGAGGCATGAAGCAGGATTGAGCAGAAGGAGAAGTCGAGGTGTGATGCAGACCCAATAGAGTGGGGAGCTCTGGAGTGGGTCTTGCCCATCCAAGTTGTCTTGCATTACAGAGAAATGGCCAATCCTTTATATCCCTGCCTTGTTCAGTCACAGGATGTGGAATGATCCAGGGAAAGCGTGATGTTGGGCAAAGAAGGAGGCTATCTACAGCTGAGGCAGACCCTAAAAGAGCTAACAGATGGAGGTTGTCTGCCTCCAGCATTCCCTACAAGTGGGCAGTAAGTCCTTGAAGGGGATTTGGCATCCACAGCTCATGTAGTCCTCTTCTTACAACCCATGTGGTCTTTCACAGGCTCTTCCTAGTATTGAGTTAGCTACAGAGACTTTCAGACTCCCAATACATTCTCTTCTCACAGTATCCAGATATTAAGATTTTTCTGAGAGAAAAATGAAACAGTAGAGGTATTCCAAGTCTTTTTCTTTTTTCCATTTATATGACTACCATGTCAGTTTGCTTCTTTTTTTATTCCTCAATTTACTTTATGACATGCCTTCCTTCTATCTAATGAATTTTAATTTACATAAGGAAGGAAGTTAAACCAGACAGGTTCTGAGCAGGAAACAGTACACTCAAACTAGAAAATCTGAGGAGTTTAATAAAGGCACTGTTTATAAAAGTGTGGTGGGGTAAGCGTCCCTAAACCCACAAAGTTACCAGAAGCTAGCAACAGCAGGGAGTTTTTTACGTCCTTATGCCTAAAAAGGCAACAGGAGGGGCAATTGTCCATAAGAGGACCACCTGACATTAGTTGTGGCCTTTAAGAAAGGCATGCAGCTATCCCTCAACATCCTGCCCTGGAGAGTACCAGGGAACACCATCTGGTAATGACTCCTCTTTTGCCCTTTCACTTCCTGCTAGTGCCTTCCATTCACGATACCAAAGAGGAAGTCAGAGGACAAAGCAACTCACTGATGCCCATACAGGTCAGTCTTCCAAGCAAAGTGCAGGTTGGAGTAGGACGGAGAGTGGATATGGAGGAAAAATGGAAATATCTAGCACATATTCCAAAGCCAACATATACTTCTATTTTGTCCTGCGTAGAGTTGTCAGATAAAATACAAGCCACTCAGATTAAAATTTCAGATAAATGATGAATATTCTTCTGTGGAGTATGTTTCAGGTAATATTTGAGATATACTCATACTAAAAAATTATTCATCATTATCTGAAATTCGTATTTAAGTGCGTATCCTGTGTTTTTCTTTGCTAAATCTGGCAGCCCTAGCTATGTAGAACAATACAAGCTATAATCCTCCTCTCTCAAAAGAATTTGGGAACTGACTACATCTAATCTGAGGGAAACACGTTCTGGGTACTCAAAGGCTTTTTACTCAGGCACCCAAATCTATTCTGTAACCATCCCCATCATTCTGTAATGAGTTTCTCCCTAGCAGAAGAAACTTTAGATCTACGTTTTGCTTACCTCTGGCAAATCGTCAATGTTGTTCCTGGCCAGAAGTAGTTTCTGGAGCTTCTTCAAGAACTTAATCTGTCCAGGTATGCAAATAAGCTGATTGTAGTTAAGTTGTAGTTCAGAAAGATTCTCAAGTAAACAAAGTTCTTTAGGAATGCTGGCTAGTTGGTTATAGTTTATGGTCAAATATGAAAGACTATTTAACCTAAAAAACAAAGTATATGAATGAAACACAAGAATAAATCCATTGTACAGAAGGCACCACTTATCAGAAGCCATGTGTCAATTCATTTTTTTGAAGCTCATCTGAGTCTTACTTAAGTCAAGTGCACAACTACTGTGACCATACAAACTAAAATTTAATTTTTTAAGATCTGAGCCCTGGTGGCGTAGTGGTCTACAGTTCGAATCCACCAGCCGCTCCTTGGAAACCGTATAGGGCAGTTCTACTCTGTCCTATAGGGTCACTATGAGTCGGAATCAACTCGACAGCAACGGGTTTCAATCGAGCTATAATCAGATAGTTTATTTTAAGAGTATTTTATGTAATCAAAACCTAGTTTTAAAATAAAGAAAATTTTATTTTGATTCTATAAACATATACATATGTGAGCTCATGTATATCTTTATCTCCATCTATACCTGTATTTATCCAGTACCAAACAGGTGTGAGTATCACTTAGTTGCTGTGAAAGATTAAAAAAATGGATCAGCCACAAATTCTGCCCTTATAGATATCATAGTTTACAAGGAGCTATTAGAAACAGCCGAAAAATGGAGACAGAAAATGCCATAAATAGGGAGAAAAAGATTAAGGATATTGGAGTTATGTATTGCAAAATGCTCCTTAGAAGCGACAATGATGAGACTTTGTCTCACGTACTTTGGACATGTTATCAGGAGGGACCAGTCCCTGGAAAAGGACATCATGCTTGGTAAAGTAAAGGGTCAGCAAAAAGAAGAAGACCCTCAATGACATGGATTGACACAGTGGCTGCAACAGTGGGCTCAAACATAGCAACAATTGTGAGGATGGTGCCGGACTGGGCAGCATTTCCTTCTGTTGTGCATAGGATCACTATGAGCTGAAACTGACTTGATGGCACCTAACAACAAAAACAACAATTGCAGATACAGTAGCAGACAATGTCTGAAGTATATAACAAGCTTTTTAGAAAAGTTGACATTTTAAACTTAGTCCCTAATAATAGAACTTGTAAAATTCAAGCAACAGGAGGAGTTTTAGAATAGAGTGTTAGTTCACACAGCCAGAACACAGGCAACCTAGAATTAGCTATACAACAACTTGGACCTATATACTTTGTAATCCTATTTTTTCAGTGAAAGCTTTCATTCATTTTTCTAACATATTCTGACAATTGAATGCCTTACATTATATAATTATACAATTCCTTTGGACTCCAAAAGAGATAAGCTAACTAAATTGTGAAATCATAACATGTTATAGCTACAAGGACTTTGAAGTTCATCTACTCAAAATTCTTCCTTTAGAGATGAGGAAGCTGAAGTCCAGGGCCATTAAATTACTTGCCCAAGGTCGTAAAACTAGTTGCAGAAATGTATGACCTAAACTTCGTTCCTCAGATCTTCCCAAGTGTGCTTTTCTCATGGTAGCATCATTTGTATACATAAATCAATTGATAAGCAAGCTGAATAAGTGAAAAAGCAAGCACTCAGCTATTGACGTTTTCATTGCTATAAATATTCCTCTTCTACAGAAGTTAGATTGATTCATATTCTTTTCTAGTTGCTCAGACTTAAAACATTACTTGCCTTCTAAAAATCTACTGGGGAAACAGTACTCTGGCTAGGGGTATAGACAAGCAAATTGGAATTGATTTTTGGTGCTGCAGAAAGCCTTGCTCATAGTTCTGAATCCTCCTTTAAAAATCTGTATGCTCTTATTTTGTAACACATCTGTTTCTGTTCAACAGGCAATAAAGAGAGTCTCCAAAGTAAACCCGAGCAGGGTTCTCTTTGCATCTGTCAGAGGAAAAGCCCAAGAGGGCATTTTGCCTGCAGAAGGACAAGGCCCTCAGCTGGCTCCAGAAAGGCACTGTAATGGCAGCCTGTCTATGCAGCTATGCAGGATAAGGGAAAACAACACTCTTTGCTATTGTTAATGATAATAAAATGTGGTTTTCTTATTTTTTTTTTTTTAGAAAATGACAACTTAGTTTTAAATCCTTTGCTTTTATATTACCTTTTCCATCAAATTCTACATGGTTTGTAACACTCATGAGAAATAAAATTTAATGTCCCCCATTCTGTAGCTGAGCAAGCTCCAAGAACCCCCGAGTTGAGAAACCAATAACGCAATCAGCTTTAGAACTTTGTTTCAACCCCCTGACTACCAAATCATGCTTTGTCTCGTTTCTCTGAAGCTTTTAAGAAATCATCTGTTTAAAATTAGTGGCTTGCCTCAGCCCTTCCGATCCCTCCGTGCTATGTATAATCCCTGCACGTACTAGATGACAGGCAAAACTCGTTCAGATGACCAGGGTGGGGTCTGGGGGCAGGAAGCTGTGGAGACCCCTACAGCGAGTCTCTGTGTCTCACTATAAACAAAATTACCTGCCGATTTCTTGAGGAAGACACGTAAGCAGATTGTTGTTCAGATTAAGCAGGACCAAGTTTTGTAAACCATCTGTTAGAAAATAATTTTAGTCACTTAAGCCATCTGTTAAATGATAATTTTCAGTCACCTTTCTATACACCTTTGTTTTCCTTCTGGTTTCTTGCCTTGGCCAAGGCTTTTTTGGTTGCGGGTAATAGATATCCTCTTAAACCAGCTTAAGCAAAAAGGGGAAATTTATCACAGTCATAGCTTATCACTACGTCATGGTGTATGAGGGCAGAGGGTACAGCCAGGATCACCACAAACGGAACCGAAAGCTAAAAGACACCCAGAACTGAGAAGTATATTCTTCTGGGTAACTCTGGAGAACATGCAGTTTAGGGTCTCCTCACAGCTTCTCCCACAGCTTCGTGTTCATTCTCTCTCTGTCTCAACCTCTCCTTTCCTCTCTCCCCTATTCTTTCTCTGTTGAACAAAATTTCTCCATTTTCCCATGTAATCATGGCTCCTAAATTTGAATATTCATAGACTGGAAACATAGTGTTCTCAAACTCAAATACCTACAAGAATCAAGCAGATAACCCAGATATGTGCAGTGGGTCTGGTGAGAGCTGTGCTAAACTGGAGAGCGTGTGACTTGCCTCAGCCAGCTCCTGTCCATTGTTGTCTCATGGAATGTGATTCACTGTTGGCCAATCTTTCATTTAAAAAAAAAAAAGACACACATCCAGACTTTCATGTGAACTCTCCTGATTTTCAAATACTGGCACCTAATTCCGGTTTTTAAAAAGGCAGACAAAAAACAGAACCAACCTACCTGTGAGCCAGGTTTGGCCTATGGGCCACCAGTTTGCAACCTCTGCCTTAGTTCATGTGATTAGCTCAAACCAATGAAATTGTTTTGGACTTTATCACAATTCCCAAAAGAGAGTCTGACAGACCCAGCTTGAGACACATGTCTAGCTCAATCCAATCCTCTCTGCTCAAGGGGCATGGTAATGTAGTACAATAACGCTATCTAGATTCATGCTGGGTAAGGTGCTCAACACCCTGACACCAAACTACCTTCTGCCCCTGGTTAATCAGGACCTGACATGGAACATAATTCATATCAATGAATGATATGAGCTTTTCAGAGCTCAATACCTCAAATTCAAGACATATAGAAATTAAAGACATTAAGGGATACCATAAACCAATGATATATATACTATATATTTATATATTTCAATATATACTTGTTATATATTTTAATATATTAGTTCATTTACATTTAATATAGATGTATGTATATATTTTAAACTTAACCTGTCATCTCAAATTTAAGGGCAACCTGAGGGAAAAAAATCCTTATAGAATCTTAAATAAGCATAAATTAGGATGTTTAATATTGTTTATATACATCAAGTTGTACTTAAGTTTGTACCCTCAATATAGTTTATAAAATATTATTGTCTATTTTTTCAAATGCTCTTCATTATTTCTCATGTGTAAACTATTTTCTTCCTAAGCTTAAATAAACTGTAACTGGACCCTGAATCTATGGCTTTGTATATATATTGTACATAAGCATCAATAGGTCTTTGTTACAATTATTAACTTGAGAAAGAATATTTCTCCAAGATAAACAGCCTAAGATTTTAAAGTACCTTAAGAGAGACGGTACTAGAGTCTATTTGTGCTATTTGCCAAATATAACCTCTAATGTAGTGCCATATGCAATCGTGCTTTTAATAAATGAAGACTATGCTTGAAAATGACAGTGATTTTATATATAGCACCCATGCCTCAAAAGCTCACAGAACTGTATAAATTCTGTATTTCTAGTTCTACCATTGAGAACCAAGGCATAAGGTGGTGAAGTGCCTTACATGAGTTAACGAAGTTATAAAAATCCCCTGGATCTCTTTGTCACAAATTCTGTCCTTAAGCCCACCCTACCTATATTGTATTAAAATAGGAAAAGTGTCATTTTGATTGGAGGAATTATTAGTTTAAGAGAAACACAAAGAAAAGAATTCCATTTATTGGCTCTAACATCTTTTCTTTAAAATTCTCCACAAATTGATTTAAACTCAGCATCTACATTAAAGATTGTGATTTAGTATCTGAGATGAGTAAAAATTGAAAAGAACAAGGAAAGGTGTGGAGAGCTACACTTGATTTGATTTTCAACTAGTTTTATCTCTGGCTCAGAAAAAGGGCCCCCAGATTCAAGAGTCTGAATGTACACTGATTTTGAAAAGGGGAAAATTCACTAACACTAATGCTTGCTTATTTTAATAAGTCTACATGTAAAGAAATATATGCTACAATAGTTGAAAAAAAAGTGTTGCTTTTAAAATTCCTTAATTTTAAGAGTAGTGTGTAAATATTTCCAGGAAAAACAGATTAAAACATGTAAGATTCTTTTCTTACTTTAGTCCTATATCATTAAATATGGGGAATTAAATTTGAAACTATAATGTTGCTCTCCTTTGACTCACTTACCACATGATCCAGGTACAAATCTACGAATCCTATTTCCAAATAAATGGAGTTTCTTCAGGGATGTAAGGTATTTCAGCTCTTCTGGAACTTCTTCTAAAAGATTGTTTCCCAGATTTAGTGCTGTCAGCTGCAAGCATATAGAGTTTTAATGGAATCATAATTATCTACTTCAAATGAGGAAAAGAAAAATGAAACCCCTTTGCTCAGATCTATGTGGTTTAAGAAAACTTTACCATAACCTTAAACAATTATTTCACATGCACTTAAAATTATCTTTAATAAAATTCATGTGAGCTTCATGCTCAAACACTTTGTTAATTAAAGCACAACTTAATTTTCAATTAAATGTCATTAATATGGTACTGCAAACCCTTCCAAGGTTATTTAAAAGCACAATTAATGATCTGGTAATAATCCACTTGAGCAACCCAAGTGTCTCTCAACATTGTGACCTATAAAATCAAAACTATTAGAAACTCATCAAAGGGGCTAATTTCCAGAAGATGGAAATAGAGCCAAAGATCTGAGGTCCTCATGTCGTATTACTCCTAAATGAGCTATCTCGTTTAGGCCAATAAAACTGCTATATTCCGTGGGCACAGGTGGGGGACCTTTAACTTTGATGTCACTCTATGTCTGCTGTTCACAAAGGAGACTGCTGAAAGGGTGTAAGTAGAGTAGGGAAGCTCAGTCCTATATATACCTGTCCCACTAAATATTCATCAGATATAAGAAGAACGGCGCATTAAGAGAAGTTAGAAAGTTCCTTCTTGATCCTCTAACTCTAATCCAATATGTCAATGATGCAGTATTGTTCCCTAAATCTCAGTGTTTTTCTTTCTTTTGAAATCTAATTGTACCTTCCAAGATTAAACAGAACAGGTATCTTTTATTACCCAACATAATTTGTCATTCAGATTTTACTACCAATTCCATATTTCAGAATTTTAACATTAAAGGTAAAAGAAAAGGAATAATGAGAGTTTTGACCAGCTAATGAGATTACATAAAAGAAGAAAAATAATTAAGGATTGAATTTAGGCAATTTAGGATTTATATTTAAATATCTTGCTGGCCTCAATAGTATTATTTGGTATGTAGGTATGTCGATATTTTAAGTTAATGTAAAGAAGTAGACATAGATATATTTACAATGAAGTTCCTTATCCTTAAAATTTAACTAGGATTTTGCATCCTCCATACATGCTCTTCTTATGAGAATTACCATTATCCTATTAAAAAAAGGACAATGTATCTACTGTTTTGGTTGTCTTATTCTATTAGAAAGACAAAGTATCTGAGATACCTTGACAAGATTGTTCCAAATGGTGTTTTACTAACAAAGGCTTTCAGAAGGAGTGCAAGCAGTGTTTTGTTAGCAGCATTCTCCATGTTTTTGTTATTGTTAGTTACCATCGAGTCAGCTCTGACTCAGAGAAATCTTATGTGTAACAAAATGAAATATTACCCAGTTCTGGGCCATCTTCATGGTCATTAGTATGTCTGAGTGCATTGTCAATGTCAATCTTTCTCATTGAGGGTTTCCCTGGTTTTTGCTGACCCTCTCGCTTTAGTCATACAAGAAACAACTACTTGATAAATTTAAAACTTATTGAAAGAATGCAAGTTTTAAACTTATCAAGTAATTGTTTCTTGTATGACTAAAGCCTTCCTTCAGGAATTACCCATAACCATGGAGAGGGTCAGTGAGAGGGTCAGGAAAAAACAACGAAACCCTCAATGAGATGGATTGACGTTGACAATAGAGTCAAACATACTAATAACCATGAAGATGGCCCAGAACTGAGCAATGTTTAGTTTTGTTGATCTTCTCAGAAAGTAACTCCTTCTGGACCTTGGATATTGGCATATTGCCATAGATTCAAAGATACCATTGCTACTAACTGGTTTCTCATGGACCCATGACCCAGAGAATTACAGCATCTTACAATTAGAACTTTTATAAGTCACATAGTCTAATGTATGCAGGAGCCCTGGTAGCAAAACGGTTAAGCTTCTGGCTGTTCAAATCTACCAGCCACTCCTTGGAAACCCTATGGGGCAGTTCTACTCTGTCTTATAGGGTCGCTGTGAGTAAGAATTGACTCAATGGCAACAGGTTTGTTTTTGCTTTTTAGTCTAATACATAAGATGCAGGTGGACAACTTGATACCTTCCCCATGAACACACTCAGTAACAGGGAGCTCTTTTATCTTATTGGAAAGTTCTATATATATATAGGCTTCTGTAACTTCTACTCAATTCTTCCCACAGCAGTTATAAAAAAATAGTTTTATTCCCTCTCCCCTCTCCCATATAACCATCTTTCAAATTTTTGAAGGCTGCTATCATATTCCCCTTGAATTTGCTCCATTTTTTCTTTACCCATTTCCCTTAGGACATAATTTCCAGAGCCCTCAGCCCTCCTCACACTAATTTTTGTGAGTACCTCTCTAAAAACATGGTGCCTAGGGTGAGACGAGAAATGTGATCTGACTAGCAGATATGCTGGTGGCACCACTGGATCTCCCTTGGGCAGATCACTACACTTCTACTAATGCAGCCTAACATGGCATTCACTCTTTCAGCAGCAGGGCATATTTTTGGTGTGTAATTAATTTTGTTTGTGGCCAAAGAAAACCCCTAAGTTAACTGACAAGCAGATAACCCACATCCTGGGCTTGTGCAATTGAATTCTTCTCTGAACCTAAATGTAGGAATTTATATTTATCCCTGTAGAAATTGCATCATGTTGATGTTGGCTCATAAGACATCTCCAGTGGATGTGATGTTGCTACTCTAAATTCTAAGTTGAAAACTGAACGATGTCACTGAAAAAAAACAGATTTATTTTTCACCCTCCCCATTTTGGTAATTCACTTTGCATTCTCATAATCATAGCGTGGCCAGACTTTGAGGTCACCTAGAACCTCTTTCTCACCCTGCACCTGAATGCAATATCACTAAGTCCTATTCTCAAAATTCCTTTTAGATGTATCTTTTATTTTTTTAATCTCTATTCCTATTGCAATCACCCTCGTACTAATCTTCATTATTGCCTGCCTGTATCATTACCATGGACTGCCAGAAGAATGAACAAATCAGTCTTAGAATACAACCAGAATGCTCCTTAAAGTGACAATGGCAAGACTTTGGCTTGCTTACTTGAACATGTGATCAGGAAAGATCAACTGCTATAAAAGGACATCATATTTGGTAAAGTAGAGGGTCATCAAAAATGAGGGAAACCCTCAATAAGATGGAATGACACGATAACCACGAAAATGGACTCAAACATACCAATGATCACGAAGATGGCACAGGACTGGGCAACATTTTGTTCAGTTATACATAAGGTGGCCATGAACCTGAGCTGACTCGATGGCAACTAACAACGTATCATTAAATAGTAAAAGAGCGTAAAAATGGGATGTGTTATTACCTAAGTTTCCTTCATCCAATCCTACTAGATTATATCTAAACTAATAGCCTGAATAATCAATCCACGAGGAATTTCCTACCCAGTAAGTCCTAAATGTTCCCAACCTTCCTATCATTTTTTCTATATCTTTGTACACATGCCCCAAACAATGTTTGTCTAATCAACTCTTTCTAAATTTGATTTGATTTATTTGATCACATTGGCTAACTCACATTTCTCAATTATAACCTATCTGTGGCCTGCCTTGAAATAGATATTTGTGTTTCCTCTTACATCTTGGATATGAGATAAGCATCTCAATGTCCATTGATGCCTTTGGATTATAAGTTCAATGTAGAGCAATCTTTGCCTGTGCAGGAGAGGAGTAAGAAATCTGAGTAGAGAATGTAATCATTAATGTATTAATGACAATATAAGTGGCTAGCATTTAAATAAAATTTAATATGTGCCAAACACTATGCTAACCTGTCTTGTACGTTGCCTCACATAGACCTCACAATAAACTCAATTTTACAGAAAAGGTTCTGTGGTCCAGACTATGATTTATAGTGAAATAATGTAGCTTTACTCTACGGCTTATACTCCTAACTTCTACACTACAGTGTCTACAGTAATATGTTGCCTATTTCTTTTTTAAATTGACTTTTACTAACAAGGAGATACTGTGTGGTTTAAAATTAGAAAAGGCATGTGGCAGAGTTGCACTCTTTTAATTATTCAATCTATATGCTGAACAAATAATCTGGGAAGCTGGGCTATACGAAGAAGAACAAGGCATCAGGATTGGAGGAAGATTCATTAACACAAACTTGCTAGCTGAAAGTGAAGCACTTACTGATGAAAGTAAAAGACTACAGCCTTCAGTACGGATTACACCCCAGCATAAAGAAAACAAAAATCCTTACAACATGATAAATGGCGAAGAAATTGAAGTTATCAAAGATTTCATTCATCTTGGATCAACAATCAATACCCATGGAAGCTACAGTCAAGAAATCAAACAACGTATTGCACTGGGCAAATCTGCTGGAAAAGACCTCTTTACAATGTTAAAAAGCAAAGACATTGCTTTGAGGACTAAGGTGTGCCTGACCCAAGCCGTGGTATTTTCAGTCACTTCATATGCATGTAAAAGCTGGACAATAAAAAAGAAAACCAAAGAAGAATTGCATTTGAGTTATGGTGTTGGCAAAGAATATTGACTATACCATGGACTGCCAGAAGAATGAACAAATCTGTCTTGGAAGAAGCAGCTGTAGTGCTCCTTAAAGCAACAATGGCAAGACTTTTTCTCACTTACTTTAGACATGTTATCAGGAGGGACCAGTCTCTGGAGGAGAAGGACATCATGCTTGGTAAAGTAGAGGGTGAGCAAAAGAGAGGAAGACCCTCAACGAGATGGACTGACAGTGGCAGCAACATAGGCTCAAACATAGTAATGATTGTTAAGTATGGTGCAAAACCAGGCAACATTTTGTTCTATTATACATAAGGTCACTATGAGTTGGAACCAACTTGACAGCACCTAACAACAGCAACAAGAATTATCATATATATGTACATGATATATATATGCCGAACTGTCTTGTATGTAATACATAGAATTCATGTTAAACATCCTTGCTCTGTTGTGCACACTCCTTAGACAGTATTGTGCAGTACCGTGCACAGGCTTTGTAGTCCAT